AACCTTCTACTTAACTAAAGCCAGTGAAATCCCCTACCAATCTCTCTAACAAACTCTAGGACTATCAGCAAGATTTTCCACGGGTTTTCTCTTGCAATCACCGTGCGACAATGAATTAAACAAGCAAATCAATTCTGAAGATTTTTCCACATTTTCCTTCATAACTCAACAACTATTGATCCTGCCCCAAAACAACCTTCTACCAATCTAAAGTTAATAAAATTCTCTACCAATCTTTCCCACAATTCCTCGTTCTATCGGCACGTCTTCTCCAGGTTTCTCACCCCTGTCTTCCGTTATGCTAATATTTTTCTCTCGCGATCATCGGGCAACAATGAATGAACAGGAGAAGAAGATATGGAAGGAAAAACCATTAAATTATATTATTATATTCAAATTCCAACAATTCACATGTTGTTGTTGTTCGTCCGTCTGTTCATCCGTCCTCTACAAACTCATGGACATGCGATATTAATTCATTCATGGCATTATTTTCACATGGAACGAGACACGAACGACGAGAGATGAATTATAGATTATCTTATAGAAAAATATAATATAATATAATATATTAAATTAAATTTTTCTGGACCTGACCTTTTCCACAAACAATAAATTCAAGAGGAGGCACAAAAACCCTCACACGGTTCAGAATGACTTGAACCCTCTAGAAAGCATAAAATTAGATAATCGTATTTTCGGGTGAAAACTTAAACTTCTTTGTTTTTTATTTATTTTTTTGTTGTATTTTTTTTTTTTTTTTTTTTTTTTCTTCATGAAGCTGATAATTATTTCTCCTTATTTTTATCCTTCGGCAAAGACATCAAACGCCTTTCGCCTTTTGAAAACAATTAAAATAATGAAAATAATTCGTATCAATTAATTTTAGGATGTCATAAAAGCGAAACCGCCATTTATTGGCGATTAAAAAACGCTAAAATCGTTTTTAAAACCGCCAACAGATAAAGATAAGAGTTTCCCCTCATAAGAATCCGATGGGAAACCAAGGAATTATTTGTTAAACATTTTTTTGAAGAATCGACAATTTTTATTTATTAGTTGTAATTTTTTTTCATCCAAAGATCTAATTTATTCATATAATTCATTTATCAAGCAGTTAATAAATTTGTTTAAATATTCATTCAATCATAGACCTATTAATTAATTCATTCATTTGATCACCGTCTAATAAATTTATTTACTCATTTATTCATTTTTTGATTCAATCCTTTATTTATCCGACTTAATGATTTATTCATTCATACACTAATTAATTTATTCATCTTATTATTCATTCATTCATTGACTAATTAATTTATTTATTAATACATTAATTTATTCATGCATCGACTAATTATTTTATTCATTCAATCTATCATTCATTCGTACACTAATTAATTTATTCATTTATACACCTATTTATTTATTTATCGAGCTCAGTCATTCATTTATCGACTAATTTATTTATTCATTCATTTAATCATTCATTCATTCATTCATTGAATAAATTCTTTATTCAATCATTTAATCATTCATTAATTTGTCGATTAATTAATTTAATTATTCAATAATTTATTCATGCATCAATGTCAACTAATTAATTTATTCATTTAATCATTTCATTTATTTATTGACCAGTTAATTTATTCATTTATTTATCGACTAAATAATATATTCATTTATTCATGGCCTGAATAATTTATTTATTCAATCATTTATTTATTTGTTGACCAATTAATTGACTCATTCATTCGTAGACGTATTAATTTATACATTGAATCATTCATTCATTCATCGATTAATTAATTAATTTATTAATTTCTCAGCTAAATAGTTTATTCATTTATTGATAAACTGATACTGAATAATTAACTAATTTATTTAAGTCAATCATTTATTTATCGACCGATCAATTTATTCATTCATTTATTTATCGACCAATTAATTTATTTATTAATTTCGTCATTCATTTATATATCGACTCATTAATTTATTTATTTTTATAAACTGATACTGAATAATTAACTAATTTATTTAAGTCAATCATTTATTTATCGACCGATCAATTTATTCATTCATTTATTTATCGACCAATTAATTTATTTATTAATTTCGTCATTCATTTATATATCGACTCATTAATTTATTTATTTTATTATTCGTTCTATCATAGACTAATTTATTTATTTATAGGTTTATTAATGTATTTATTCATTATCATTTATCATTTATATATTCATAGTGTGATTAATTCAATCATTCATTTATTCATTCTGTCGTTTATTTATTCATTCAATTGGTTAATTTGTTCTTTCATTCATTCATTTGATTCATCAGAAAATTTATACTTTTAGGGGCATATCATTTTTATTCTTTATATACTCTACGCTACTATAGATATTCTATTTATATAGATAATTATATTTTATTTTTATCTTAATCAATCTTAATATTTTTCTAACTGATTTCTTCATTCTTCATTTTTCTTCTAAATTTTATTTTTCTTGAATTTTAATCTTGAATTTTTTTTCTTGAGACTTTACATATGAGACTTTATTTAAACAATATAGTGCTATAGTAAAAGTTGTTAAGGGTATATATGTAAAATAATATACTTTGTATATATATGTATATATATATATATATATAATATATACAAATATAATTTTCCATCTTTATATCCAGAAGACACGAATGTTGATTTCACGGTAGTCGCGCAATATGTAAATTTTTATTGTCGCATTATTACATTTTATTATTATTATTATAACGATATTATAATATTGTAATATTGTTGTTATATAAGGTAGATGTTTGTGAATAAATAAATAATAAATTTATAATATGAACATTGTTTAAACACGCCATTTCTCTATCTTATTAATTATTAATGCACTTACTGAATGCAAATTGATGGATGAAAAACTATGAAGATCGTAATATACATATCTACGATACCTAGGGTAATGCGGGGTACAAAGGTCCAATTTGACTTTGAGCTATTACATAGTGAAAACCAACACAATTATATCACGACAAAATAACTGATATCAAGCAAACAACTATCTGACTATGTTCAGTAAAACTCTCAGCAAATTCATCATTGGTGAAATGTGTTTTTTAAAAATTTGCCACTGGGTTCTTTTTACCCCGTAGGCGGGGTAAAATGGGACGGCCAGGGGCAAACAAGTTCAATGTCTCATTTTTAATTTAAAAAGCGTCTTAAGCGAGAAAGCAGAAACAATATAATTCAAAGTCTATTTCAAGGTCATACGTGAGAAATCGTGTTAAGCATGATCGTCTTAACGGGGTTCTGATGTATATAAATTATTAACTATTTCCTTCTCTTTATATTTATTCTTTTTTACAATCTGTCAGAATTGAATAAAAATCTTACATCTTATTAACGAACAAAGAATTCGTCGAAGAGAAATAATTCTTGAGGAGATCTCTTTTGTTCGAAAAATTATTGAATGCTTGCTCCTGGCGCCAGAAAACATTTATAAATGAAGATATATACATTTATATACATATATATATATATATATATATATATATATAATATATACATGTTCGAATATCTTTTATAATTTTAGCGCCGAGGTATAGAATTAAAATTTGTGTAAAGTCATGACGGTCCCGTATCGAAATAATTTTCACATGAGAATTAAAACAAGAACCTTTTTTGGACAAATAGGAATTCCTGGTATTCAAAGAGAAAAAGGTGCTAAGTAGATAATTTGACAGCGATTTAGCTTCATCTTTAATATACAGAGAGATAGATAAATAGATAAATACGGAAGCTAATTCTTAGAGACTATTAGATAAAATACTATTTGTAATGTTCAGCCTTCAATATCTCAGAAAATTGCGAATTTTTATTAAATTCGCAATTAAATTAAAACTGTATATGGCAAGTTTATGGACAATTTTATAAGTTTCTTCTAAAACAATATTTATGCAAGTGCTTCACTTTAATTGTAATATTTAATTGATTACAAAAGTGCACTATGGAATTGTAGATAAATTTATGAAGTTGTTGTGCTTTCGCATGGATATATATATATATATATATATATATAATATATATAAAAGAGTACAGTATATATAATTCTATACTTGTAATTTAATGATAGATCTTTTTAAGAATCCGAAATACACAACAAAATGATGTCTGTAATTATATAGAAGCATCGAGCAATACCGACGAATGTAATTATATACTGAATCGCCTTTAAGAAAAAGATCTTTATATATATATATATATGTATATATATAATTTCCCAAAGACTGTATTAAATTTGCACTATTATTTCAAAAGTTAATTTCCCAAAGACTGTATTAAATTTGCACTATTATTTCAAAAGTTATGAACAATTGTATGCATAAATGCACTTCTATCCATGCGTACAAGTATATGAATAATGCAAAGTTATATTTGAACCCCTGCGATTTATGTTTTTTAGAGATTTTGAATATTAGGCGATATTTTCGATTTTTCTATTTTCTACTTTTTATAAATATTTTAAAAGTTATCTAAAAGATAATACATAAATGTACTTCTGACCAAGTCAATTTTTTATAGATCGAACAAGGGTTGCTGTAATATATCATTTATATTAATCAACACAAGAGATATTACATATAAATGCACCACAACTGATTTACGATTTGCCAACATTTTTGTCCTTTTTAAGAAATCTCTTCGAGTCCTTTCACGCCTCAACGCCACTCCATCCTCCTCCTGGATTTACCATCATCATCCTTCACCATGTGACAACCTCTTTTATCCTTCTTCGTCCTCCTGGTGCTCCTTGGAGAAGACCAGGAGATGATAAGGGACGAAGAAGGAATCTTTTGAAGTTTTTCTTTCTGCCACTAATTGGCGTCCTCTAATTATAGCCGAAGAGAAAGAGACTAATTGCCAAAGTTTGACGTCCAAAAATATCTCCATTCCTTCACTTGGATGATCTATTTTTAGGTTGGCACCGAAATAGATCATGGAGCGGGATTTAGAGGTCTCCAGAAACAAGCGAAAGCTATTGTTATGGTCAATATATTAAAACAAGTAAACTTTTTGTAGTATTTATAACTTGAACCAATTTATTTAACCCGGTGTACTATTTATAGTGCAACCAACTGAACCAATGGAACAAAATGCATTTATTGACTAAATCTATTGTAACTTTTGAAGAGTTCTTTTAGTATATATGATGTTGTTGACAAATTTTACCAACCTAAAATATTATTTAATACTGCCTCATTTTATAAGCTATAATTTTGCTGATAGCAACGCCCATCGTTAATTGATCCATAAAAGATTCGAGTATTTATTTATTACATCACTTGTAACTTTTGAACCATTTGATTAATATAAATGATAATTGAGACAAATTTGTTGAAAATTAAATTATTTATAACTTTCTCTGACATCACAAGAGCTTTGAACAACTCGGTATACTCAAAAATGACTATAGAAAATTAAAAAAAAGTCAACACATTAAAAATGCATTGTTTATGAAAACTTGCGTTGAATTGCATTAGTACGGAACCTTGGAATATATATATATATATATATACATATATTATATATATATATATATATATATATATACGTGTAGTATATATTGTTATAAATAATATATAATAATATATAAGTGTAGAAATAAAAATTCTGAATGTTCTGAACGTGACGCGTAACTCCGGTACGTGATGAAAACTAAGATTGTAATTATATCAAGAAACCTAAAGAAAAATATAAAAAACATTTTATACAAGATATATATATATATATATATATATATACGTGTGTGTGCGTGTGTGTGTGTGATTTTTTTCTAAACTAATATCTTTTGAGTTATGATTTCTCAGCAGAAACTATTACTTTATTTGCGATTTTAATCTATACCGTACAAGAATGTTATTCTCCAAAATCTAATTCCATTCTTACCTGAATCTTATTGAAAATTACCTGGAAATTATTAAAATCTTATTAGATTCTATAAGGTTTTTAAAAGATTCTTATAAATTCCTACTATATTCACGAAGAAATATCTATTATATTCTTACATTATTTTTATTCTAACCTACTAACTATCTAACTAAATACTTGTTTCCATCAGATTTTTTACCGGAATCATTTCAGATTCTGACTAGATTTTTATTAGGTCTGTCTGTATAAGATTCTTACGAAATTCTTATAAGGTTCATTATTACATTTTAACTAAATTCTCATTAGATTATCTATCAGATTTTTACCAAAATCGTTTCAGATTCTGGCTGAATTCTTATTAGATTTTTATTATATTTTTACCAGAAACAATTTTATTATATTCTTACTTATTACTATCTTGTTATATTATAATTAAATACTTATTAGATTATCATCAAATTTTTCGGGATCGTTTCAGATTCTGACTCAGAACCTTGAAATGATCTTGTTTTCAATGTTAAAATCTTATTACATTCTTATCAGACTCTTATTGCATTCTAACTAAATTTTTATAAGATTCTTACCCTCTATTCATAAGGTTCATAAAACATTTTTATAAGTTTCTCGCCAATATTCTATATTTTCGCCAAAATCTTATTAAATCTTACGAGGTTCTTTTTTGAATTAGAAGACTTTTATTACATTTCTAACTAAATTTTCATTAGATTTCTATTAGTTTTTACAAGAATTATTTCAGATTCTGACTAGATTAGGTTAGTAGTAGTTTTTCATAAGATTCTTGCCAAATTCTCATAAAAGGTTCATAGAAGATTCTTATTAATACTATATTCTAGCCAAAATCTTATTAGGTTCTTACTTGAATCTTATTTGAATGTTACCAGACTCTTATTACATTATTACATATTTTTCGATTTTTACCGGAATCTTTTCCGTACTAGTTTTTCATAAGGTTCATAAAATATTCTTATTATATTCTTACTATATTTAGAATTTTATTAGATTCTGACTAAAATCTTGTTCGAATGATATTAAAATCTTATTATATTCGTACCAAATTCTGTCTAGATCCTTATTGGGTTCATACTAGTTTTTCATAAGATTCTTACCAAATTCTGATAAGGTTCATAAAAGATTCTTATAAGATTCCTACTACATTCATCTCTAATATTTGATTAAACTCTTTCCAGAATCTTTTTAGATTCTTACCTTATTATTATTAGATTTTTGTTCAAAGCTTTTTATGATTAATAAAAGAAATGATTTTTTATTAATATTTGCTCACTCACTTGTGTTTATATATATATATATATATATATATATATATATATATATATATATATATATATATGAGTGAGTTCTTGAGGGCGATACATCAAACAAAGAAAAGCCAAAGATTTATAAAATAATCTTTATTTCCAAACGTTTCGACATTCAATTTAATGTCATCATCAGTGGATCTAAAAACAGTATGAAAATTAGCATATCTAGGTAATTATAATATATGTGGATTGGTAAAGTAACTATACAATAAGAAAAAATTAACAAACAGCAACACTTAACAACAAACCAAATATAAAAGATAGGAAAGGTAGTAGAGACTAGAATTAAATAAATAATTAAAAAGTATAGGCAAAAATATTTAAGTACACTCATATAAACCTCATATATACACACATATACATATATATATATACATATATATATACATGCATATATCCATATACACACACATACAAACATATAATACACATATACATATACAGATACAACAATATATACCTATATATGTACACATATACATGTAAGACTATACACATATAAATATACGTATATACATATATGCAACGTGCATGCATATTTACAACGACGTACATGTACATGTATGAACCATACATATACTCATACCTATCTATGTAACTATAGCTATACACGTATACACATACATATACGCATAAACATGTATATACACATATATACACACATATATATATACATATATATACATACATATATATATACATATATATACACACACAATACATATATATACATAAGTACATAAATGCTCACAAATATATATATATATATATATATATATACATATATACATATATATACATATGCATACATGCATATATACGTATATATAATTACATGTATACACATATACATATGCACATACATACAAACATACATGTAAATAAGTAATATACATATATATACATACATACATACAAAATATATATATATATATATATATATATATATATATATATATACAGGTTCAGGTTGTTAAAAAGGTACAAAAATGCTTTTGTTTTACCTTTTCCTTTCCAATACTGAATGACATACCTTGATCCATTCAGGCTACCATTCATAAGATAACTTTTTCATTTTTATTTCATCTTATTTTTTATTATACGAAGATACATATGAAGTCCTGCCAGGACAGATGTTGGCAACATAAAAGGGCGGACAAAATAATAATAATAAATATAAAAAATAGATTGATTTTATTTATAACTAGAAAAATTCAAAATAAAATTTAAATAGATTTTTGTATCTATTGATAGTATTATTACCTAGAATCTTATGTTTACATTGATAATTTATCTAAGAGATTGCTTAAAATTATAATTATCTGATCGACATTTTCATACCACGAATACCTAGTATACCTACAATTCTATTTTCAAGCAATTCAACATAAATTGACTAACATAATTTTAATATTTTGTTTTTAATAGAAAATTTATGGCAAAAATTACAGAGTATTCTTTGAGAAAATTGTAGGTAGATAAATTATCTAAAACTTTGCTCCAGATTATAAATATCTAAGACCAAATTTTAATAACATGAATTCCTACTAAACTTACAGCTTTATATTAATATTATTATATCATTTATAGGTACAATTTATACAATTCGATTCGTATTGCTAAGGAGTCGTGCTGATTAGTTTTTGGCGGAGGCAGGTCTAGCCGTTCCAAAGATACGGGGCAAAAAGTGCCAAAAAAGGTAACTCAGTTTTTAAGAGAACGGAGCGTCCGATTTTAATAATTCAAAAAACATTGACAAGATGAAGAATTGATCAAATTTTCATGAAGGCAGATCTAGCGGTTTCGGAGATCTTCTAAAAAAAGTAAAAAAAATGCCATTTGGTGGTCAAAAATGATCATATGCGCATGAAATTATCAGATATTTTATAGAGATTTTAACAATAAGTATAAATTTTAATAACATGAATTCCTACTAAACTTACAGCTTTATATTAATATTATTATATCATTTATAGGTACAATTTATACAATTTATCTGGTATTGTTTCTAAATATCAAACCTTTATTATCTTATTAATTATCTAAATCGTATAGATAGTTTTTAATTATGTATAGATGTTTGTTTTCCACGTAAATTTCAATTCACAATTATTTGTTATTTATATAGTTGAAAATATTCTTGAAGTCAAAACTTCAGTATTTTATTTAAACACATTTTTTTAAATAATTTTTATATTTATAAAAGGTTTGTTATCCCTGTTTGAAAAAAGAAATGACAAGTTTTGAAATTGCGTAAGTCACGTATTCGCGTTCGATACAGAAATACAAAGGTTGTAATTTTTAAACAATAATTATATATTGTTATTCGCAGAAAAATTAAGGAAAAAGGACGAAAAAGTACAGGGATAATCTATATCTGATCATATTCCATATATGTAATATATAGGGTGCATTCGACTTGGACGCTTACGCGCTGTGAGCGCGCCGTGAGCGCGCTTTCATCGTTCGACTTGGCGCTGTGAGTGTCGCATAAGCACGCTCGTAGCATCATCGTAGGATGCTCGTAGCACATATTTTGCGCTCAGACGTGCTCACGCCACAGAGGTAGGGCAGCGTGAGCGTGAGCGTCAGTTGTTTTTACTATCTGTCATTTCATTCATTTATTAATTGTCAAATTCTTTATAATTCCGCAAAAATGGCAAGCTGTAGATCACAATTATTTTTTAATATTAATATTGATATTAATTAATTTTAAATTTAGTTAATTTTAAATAATTTTAAATTTTAATTTTAATATTACTATTAATTAAGCATAAGCTAACCTAATTTCATTTATTTATTAATTGTTAAATTCTTTATAATCCCGCAAAAATGCCAAGTTGTATATCACATTTATTTTATAATATTAATATTGATATTAATTAATTTTAAATTTAATTAATTTTAAATAATTTTAAATTTTAATTTTAATATTACTATTAATTAAGCATAAGCTAACCAAATTTCATTTATTTATTAATTGTTAAATTGTTTATAATCCCGCTGAATGATCCAGAAAGTAATAAAATTTACACAAATACCGTTACCGCTAGTTGCCGCCATTTTGATGCTTATTGACGCTCACAGTTTCCAAAACGAACGGAATTTAGTTATCGATTCTGAGCGCTTATTGGTCAAGTCGAACGCTAAAAATTCGTGCTTATAAGCGTGAGCGCTCACAGCGCGTAAGCGTCCAAGCCGAATGCACCCATAGTTGTATAAAAACAGTAGAAGTCCGATAAGACGATAATACACAGTACAATTTCTCGCATAATACGCAGAAATACTCTGCACAGAAATATAATGGTTCTATCCCGCATAATACGCTATTTTGTTTAAGACGTATTTTTGGTTTGATCCCTTGTAAATCGTCTTCATGAGACTTTACTGTACATATATAATCGAATGAATGATTAATTGATAAATAAATGGTATGACTAAATAACTAAATGAATGAATCAATTAATAAATAATTATATAAATAAATCAAAAAGTAAATAAATAAATGCAAAAATAAATAGACAAATAAATGAACAGACAAATGAAATGAATGAACGAAGAAATGAAGTAAATAAATTAACAAGTAAATATATAAAACAAATAAATAAATAATTAAAGAGACCTATGAATAAATAAATAAATAAATGAATGAATAAATAGACAAATAGATAAGAATATAAACACACAAATAGATTAGTAAATAAAAAAGTAAAATAATAAGTAAGTGAATAAATTATTAAATAAATAAAATTGAAAAAATAAATGTTAGATGTCTATAAAAATAAACGATGAATGAATCAATAGTAGAATAAATGCAAAAATAAATGAATATGTTAAAAAAGTAACGAATGAATGATTAAATTTTTAAATGAATATAAAAAATAAATAATAATCCTAAAAATGAATGATAGAAATGATTGAGTTTACAAATTATTTTATATTTATATTATTTTATTATTAAAGAAAATAAGTGAATGAATAACTAAAAGTAGTTATTAAAAAAATTAAATGTGTAAATAAATAAACGAGGAATGGATGAATAGTAGAATAAATGCAAAAAGTAATGAATATGTTAAAAAAGTAACGAATGAACGAATAAATTATAAAATGAATATAAAAAATAAATAATAATCTTAAAAATGAATGATAGAAATGATTGAGTTAACAAATTATTTTATATTTATATTATTTTATCAATAAAGAAAATAAGTGAATGAATAACTAAAAGTAGTTATTAAAAAAAATTAAATGTGTAAACAAATAAACGAGGAATGAATGAATAGTAGAATAAATGCAAAAATAAATGAATATGTTAAAAAAGTAACGAATGAATGATTAAATTTTTAAATGAATATAAAAAATAAATAATAATCCTAAAAATGAATGATAGAAATGATTGAGTTTACAAATTATTTTATATTTATATTATTTTATTATTAAAGAAAATAAGTGAATGAATAACTAAAAGTAGTTATTAAAAAAATTAAATGTGTAAATAAATAAACGAGGAATGGATGAATAGTAGAATAAATGCAAAAAGTAATGAATATGTTAAAAAAGTAACGAATGAACGAATAAATTATAAAATGAATATAAAAAATAAATAATAATCTTAAAAATGAATGATAGAAATGATTGAGTTAACAAATTATTTTATATTTATATTATTTTATCAATAAAGAAAATAAGTGAATGAATAACTAAAAGTAGTTATTAAAAAAAATTAAATGTGTAAACAAATAAACGAGGAATGAATGAATAGTAGAATAAATGCAAAAAGTAATGAATATGTTAAAAAAGTAACGAATGAACGAATAAATTATAAAATGAATATAAAAAATAAATAATAATCCTAAAAATGAATAATAGAAATGATTGAGTTAACAAATTATTTTATATTTATATTATTTTATCAATAAAGAAAATAAGTGAATGAATAACTAAAAGTAGTTATTAAAAAAAAATTAAATGTGTAAACAAATAAACGAGGAATGAATGAATAGTAGAATAAATGCAAAAATAAATGAATATATTAAAAAAGTAACGAATGAACGAATAAATTATTAAATGAATATAAAAAATAAATAATAATCCTAAAAATGAATGATAGAAATAATTGATTTTTTACTTTTTTATAAATAAATGAATTAATGATTGAATGATTGAATGAGTGAGTGAGTAAGACAAAGAATAGGTGAGTGAACGAATGACTGAGTGATAGAGTGTATAAATGAGGGAGAGAATAAGATAGCGAACGAATGAAGGAGTGAATAAGAGAAAGAATGAATGCGTGAGCGAATGAGCGAGTGAACAAGAGAACGAATGAAGGAGGAAGTGAATAAGAGAATGAATGATAAAATGAATAACATTATAAACAGTAAGGCCATCTAACCAAGTCCCAGTTTTGTTTCATACTTTTAAACGTAGATGGCAAACATGTTTATGTAAAACAAATGTGTTTTTTAATTTATGTACCTATTTAATTTTATTTATTTGATAATTGCCAACTTCTTAATTAACATTAATAGCTTTAAATTAATTTTTGTTATTTTAAAACTGAGGTGTTGCATGGTGTGATGATTAAGACTTCTGTGGATGATGTCGTGAGTTCATGAAAATGACATCATGCAGCAGGTATGTCTATTTGTACCTAAAAATATAGATCAAAAATATGTTTTCAATTAAAAATAGCTTATTTCGAGCACTTCGGTGTGAAATGGCAATGAAAAATCTCTCATACTATTTTCCCCAGAATCGTGTTGGAGTTTAACTCATGGACCTGCCTTAGGGTAGTACGTCCCATTATTTATTATTAATATTCAGAATTTAGTTATAAGTTATTTAAAGAAAATTAAAGATATGCACTTGAGTATTTATACGTATTGTCCAAATACACCATTCATATTAATCGAATGGTTTGGAAGTTTGGAAGAACATAATAATGTTAGACAATATCGTAGGCAATTTAATTTTGTACTTATTCACCAAATATATTATTTATGTTAATCGAATAGGTTATAAGTTACAAGAAATATAATAAATAAATGTATGAATCAAGTCGCAATGGTAAAATATATAGTTTTTGTACTAGAAATACTACAAACGGCTAATATTACCTTCAAATATTATTTTTTACATATGTCAAAAATAACACCATGGTGTGTTATTGAATTATTTTTTTCGTTAATTGTGTGAAAACTACAATTTTTACGCTCGTTTTGAAAACTTTCATTTACAAAATCGCTCCGAGACGTGTTAAAAGTTTATTCTTCGCGACAATCAGACCAAAACGCACTTTTAACATAATTATATACATTTTAAAATAAATAATAATAACAACAAAGGTGGAAATTCACCTGTAGAAAAACGTTTTAATAAACAATATGAATAATCGACAATGGAAAGTGACAGTGAAAAATTGTGAAAGCAACAGTATTTTTTTATGTTTAAGTAATTGTGTTTAAAGTACAATGTATTTGGAATATTTTATAAATAATAAAAATAACTGTAACAAGGATTTAACTGTTATATTTATTATTTATAGACTACCTTGAAGGATAAAAAAAATTATATATTGTATGTGTGGTAGGTACCTATTTAATAATATCCATAGATTCATTTATTATGAATTTATGTATTATATCTCTTGTAATTTTTGAACCATTCGATTAATTTAAATGATGTTCAAGGGAAATTTGTACAAATTTAAATAATCTACAACATTGTCTTACAATAATACTCTAAAACAACTCGGTATACTTTAAAATAGCATTTCGAACTTGCAAAGCGTTAATACATATATTTACTATATCTCCTGTAACTTCTAAACCATTCGATTAATATGAATCGTGTATGAAAAAATTAGTAGAAAATTGAATAATCTATAATAGTGTCCTATATCAGAAAGCCATACAGCAACTCTGTATACTTTAAAAAAAAATTGATGCTTGATACTTAGTGAATTTACTTGCAAATCATTTATTTGCATTTATTTACTATATCTCTTGTAACTTCTGAACCATTCGATTAGTATGTATGAATGATGTATTAGACAAACTTTAATTTAATAAACTAAATATTTACTCTAGATCTGGAAAATTATGGCACTTAGAAAATATTAACATTTTTCACTCACTTCGATCTCGTGAAAAAGTCATGGAAAAGTCCGTGAAAAAGTCATGAAAAAGTCCATGATTTTTCATCAGTTTCAAAAAAAATTTACATTTTCACTCGCTCAAATCCCACTACAAATGACTCTAGATCTACTCGATATACTCTAAAATCTAGTGTAGGTGTATGTAGAAAGAGAGTTCTGCTTCATAGAAAAAAAGAGAAAACTATACCTATATAATAATTGTAAACAAAAAGTTTACTCCCAGTTCACATTCGAGGTTCATTCCTACAACTCTATATATAAATAAATAAATAATTACTATAATTTAAAAAAATAATCACCAATTAAAAATCAGTACATTAAATAATTAATTACAATAATATTATGTTATCATAAGTGACTTAATTTTTTTTTTTTTCTAAAATGTCGCAAGTTTTAAATTTATGTTTGTTATTGTTGTTTTACTTCACTTGTACAGAAGGCATCAGTTTAGGAGGAATTGGAAAATCGAGATTTGGTCGATGTAAGTCCAATTTTGGAATATTTTTATCTTTTTTGGTTTTATATATAGGTGTATTATATATTAGAAGATAATGTAGATAGGACTTTTAGCTATAAAATGCTGTCTTAAAAATCAAAATCCGTTAAGTAGTTCTCGAGATATAATTTTTTTAACAGCGTATGCACTTTTGATGTAGATCAAAATCAATTCATTCCAAGTCCAATTTTGTAATTTTGTAACTTTTTTGGTTTTATATATACATGAAATATGTGTTAGAAAATGTTGTAAATTGGACTTTTAGCTATGAAATGCTTTTTCAAAATTAAAAATCCGTTCAGCGGTTTTCGAGATATGCATTTTTTAACAGAGTGTGCACTTTTGATATTGATCAATTTCAATCCATTTCAAGTCCAATTTTGGAAGTATTGTAACTTTTTGGATTTTATGTATACGTAAAATATATGTTAGAAGATGTTGTAAATTGGACTTTTAGCAATAAAATATTTTTTAAAATTGAAAATCCGTTAAGCAGTTCTCGAGTTATACACTTTTTAAATAGCATGTGCACGTTTCAAAAATTTAAGAAGTAAATCTAAATAAATAATTTTAGAGTAGACAATAGGATTGCTGTCGAGATTTTGTTTTTAAAAATATAAGAAGGTTAAGATATTAAATGTTATGAAATGGACTTTTAGCTACAAAATACTTTTTGAAAAAATAAAATCCTTTAAGTAATTTTTAATAGGCAATGAATATTATTAACAGTGTATTAAAAATAAAACAAATCAAAATCAATTATTCTAAATCGCCTTTATAGAGTAGACTTACTTGTTCTAGAGACGTTTAATATAAGAAATTATTATTATCATTAAAATTTTCAATATTTATATTGTTTATAATTTAGTTATAAACTTATCTCCTGAATACATCATTCATATTAATCGAATGGTTTAAAAGTTACAAAAGATACAATAATTAAATGTACGTAAATTAGTTGCCATTCAACACTGGACTTGGTTAGATTACTTAATTGTCCATTTTCAAATACATTTTTAAAGTATAACGAGTTGTTCTAGAGACTTTTATTGTTAGAAACATTAGTAAACAATTCAATTTTGAACAATTTTTTCTAATACACAATCCATATTGATCGAATGATCTAAAAGTTACAAAAGATATAATAAATAAACTGCATCGACACTAGACTTGAGCGCCTACAGCTATTTAAAATCAATTTTCAAGTATACCGAGTTACTGTAGAGCATCATAACATTATATAACACGACAAATAGTTTAGAAGTTACAACAAATACACTGTTAAACATACTAGTGAACTGCACAACATACCTTGATTATCTTTTATCATCAGTAAAGTGCATCGATACTAGTCCTGAGCGCATCCAGTTATTATTTTTTTGTAAAATCAATTTTCAAGTACACGGAGTTGCTGTAGAGCATCATAACATTAGACAATATTAAAAATAATTTTATTTTAAATAAATTTGCAAAATATTGCATGCATCTACGACAAATAGTTTAGAAGTTACAACAAATATGCTGTTGAACATACTGATGAACTGCACAACACACCAACAGCTTATCTTTTATCATTATCTAAGTATCTTTTTAGTTTTATCTTTATTCACTGTCGTCTCCTGGGACCAAGCTGGAGCTTGTGCAAGTGCAACAGGAGGTGGAACTGAAACTGGAACTTGTCTTCCTGCTGCACCAGATTGTGCACTGAGAGGTGGAACGGCAGCCGGACCTTGCGCTGCAGGATACGGAATCTGTTGCGTATGTGAGTAGAAAATGTTGATAAATAAGGGTCTTAGGGTTTTATAGTCTAAGAGAAAGTTATTAGGAACTTTATTGGCTATCAATTTTTCTAAGAAAGTTCTTTATTTGCACGAATAGTTTAGAAGTTATGATTAAAATTATAAAAAAAAAGTACCATCCCGATTGTGTTCATTTTAGTGGCTCGTATACTTGTTACTCCAGTTGTAACCTTTAAATGACCAAAATATTGTTTTTCTAGTTATGGCAACATGTGGCGCAAGTGTTTTACAAAATGGCACGTATTTTGTAAATCCAAATCATCCAAATCCAACAGACAGTACTGGAAGTTGCCAAATTACAGTTCCAAAACTAGGACCTGATGTGTGCCAAATTAGGTAAATAAAATTAAATTAATTAATTATTAGGTTAATTATGTTATTTATTTTAGCCAGTAGCACTATTTGTAGTACAGAGATTTGTGATATTCTCCCAATCATTACAAATTGAATGTTTTTTGGATAATTCAAATCGGATACTCCGTTTTCTCAAAAACTTGATTTCTATTTTCTGCACTCTTTGCACTGTATCTCCGAAACTGTTGGACCCACCTTTGTGATCTTGAAAACTCATTTGTGTATTAATTTATTTTATTGAAGCAAAACTTCTAATGCGACATCCAAAAGGGATGCGTTAAGCATTCAACATTCTCGAGTAGGGGGGAGGTAATAGAATAAGACAAAGCGAAAATTGTTTTATTTTTTTTACTAAATTGTCTGTAAATATTTTGTATATTGTTTGAAAATGTTTATGTACATTGTCTTTAGATATTCTATTTTGTCTGAAAATGTTACAAGTCTGAAAATATTTTGTAGTTTGTCTGAAAACGTTGGATATAGTCTGAAAACCTTTCAACAAATGGTAGTCTAAAGACAGGTCCATGGTGTGAAAGCCACCGCAAATAGATGATTCCCTTACTTTTACCCTTCATTGTCTTTCATTTCCATTACAACTATCCTCCCCCTTTTTACACATTTTTTGTGTATTTTCCTTACCAAACTTTTGCTTCCATACTTCCTGATCCTGCTTGAGAAAATTCCCTGTTTTCCCTTCTCAAGTAAGTCGTCAATCATCTGCATTCTTCTTCTTCATATTCCTGTCATTCCTTTCTATTGCATTCTCGATGATGTCATGCAGGAGGCACTCTTTTTGCAGAACTGGTCCAGAATATTAATTATAATAATATTTTATCCTTTTAGGTTGGATTTTGAGACTTTTTCAATAGCAGGACCAGATCCTGCAAGTCACGTTTGTACTGCCGACAGATTTCTGGTTAGTGGTGGTACTCCTGCACCAGTCATTTGTGGAAACAGTAATGGCGACCATAGTAAGAAAATTTTAACTAACTTTAAAGTATCGTGGATCACAAGTAATGTTGTAATATAGTAGTTAAGTAAGTAATAAGTAATAAAGACATGACATCATGTAGAAGGATCTCTTTTTGGAGAATGGCTTGGATCCAATGTCTTTTTTTTTTAATTATTGTGTTCAGTGAGAAGAGAGTTCTTTGCATATTTTTATCAGGACTTCTTCATTTGTTACTTGTCCACTTTATTTTCTCCATTTGCCTCTAGCACCACATTTCAAAACTTTCCAGATAGTTTTTGTCAGCTTCTTTCAGAGTCCATATCTCTGATCCACAAAGAGCTATGCTACCTCTTCCTCTATATAAAAAATCAATGTACTTTATCATCTCATATTTACAACTGCAAGTTTGAATTGAAAAGAGTTTTCAGAGCATTATGATGTTAAAAATGCCAGAAATTATTTATTTTTGTTTAAGTTTAGCAATTATTTTACTAATATTAAACTTATGGTTCAAAATACATAAGATATATTTAATACATGCAAAAAAAATGCACAATTGGAAATTCTATACAAAAAATAGATACTATTAATATCTATTATATATTTATACTTTTATTTACCCATTTTATTTATATTTTTATCTTTTTTATTTATATATTTATCATTTTTTAGTGTATATCGATACAGGAGTGGGTCCAACAAATCCTGTAACTTTGACTGTGGTTACAAGTGGCCCTTCGACTCCTAGAACTTGGAAGATAAAAGTTACACACATACCTTGCAGTACTATTTATAGAGGTAAATAACAGTTATTTAAAAATTAGAGCTTATTACATATAAAACATTTAACTGTCAAGATCCTGAAATAATAATAATTATTATTGATTATGGATTGCTTATAAATAAATAAAAATGAATAATTATATAAAAATAACTGGAGAAAAATAATATTTTTGTCAGTATTATTTGTCTAATATATACATTATAAGCTTTTAAAATCAAATTAGAGCATCTTCTTGTTAAACTGTCTACTTTACTATTTAAATCAAATTCCTTTTTCCATTAAAACTCTTACAACAATGTCTCAAGATTAATGAAATAAAAATAATATTCTTTACGTGTATGTATATTTTGAAAATTACAATTTATATAACAAGTTTTGCTTACTTTTTTCTCATTGCTTCTTTCTTAAGCTGATCCTGGTTGTCTACAATATTACACCGGAGTCTCTGGTAAAATTAAATCCTTCAACTATGATCCTACGAATGGAAGGCAATTGTCGAATCAAGATTATTCTTTGTGTGTCCGGAGTGAGAGGAATTTCTGCAGTATACAATATACAGCTTGTCCTGATACAGGTATACAATATAATTATTTTAAAATATTTGTGTTAACTTATGCAATATATGAGAAAAGCATTTATTGAAGTTAAATAAAAAAAGTTAAAGTGAAAGAAGGATTTGTTTGAAAATGTTATGTCTGATAATGTTGTAGTCGTCTGAGAGTGTTTGAAGATTGTTTGAAAGTATTGCAAATTGTCTGAGAATGTTGTAGATTGTTTTTAGAGTATTGTAACTTGTGTGAGAGTATTGTAGATTATGTGAGAATGTTGTAGATTGTATGAAAGTGTTGTAGATTGGTTGAAAATGTTGTTCAGTGTTTGGTATTGTTGTGGAGTGTCTGGGAATGTTGTGGTGTGTCTGGGAATGTTGTGGAGTGTCTGGTAATGTTGTGGAGTGTCTGGTAATGTTGTGGAGTATCTGAGAATGTTATGAGATGCCTAAAAATGTTTTGGAGCATCTCATAATATTGAGATTGTCTGACAATGTTGTAGATTGTATAATAATGTTGTAAATTTTGTTTCTTATTAATAGAATATTTGTTAAACTTGTACATAATTAAATAATTTGCAACATTTATTACCATTTACATTGATATTAAATTAATATTTTTAAACATCAGAAAATCATACTGCTAAATACAGTCTGAAAGATACAACATAAAGTCTAAAAATATACTGCCAAATATTTTAGTCATTCATATTTATATTTTGTTTGAGATTTTGTATAGCAATAAAATTCTATTTATAAAATTTTATTTATTTAGTGAACAACCGATCAAGAGCATTCACTCTCTCTGGAAATAGTAATCAAGCGGTTCAAGCCATGGTAGGAGCAGCTGGTTCACCGAACACTTGTTCTTCGGATTGGCTTTCTATAAATTGTGCTGCCAATGCTGATAGGACTCCACCAGCTACCACTTGTGAAGGTAAGAGGAAGGACTTACAAAATTTTCAGTATTAATTATCTACATATTAAGCCATTCAACAAATTTGATCAAAATTTATATATTGATTATTTAGTTAAAACAAAATATTTTGTAAGTATGTTTGGTTTATGACTTTTTACTTCAAGTTTTCTCTTTAAATTTACTTCTAGAACATCAATAAGGAGACTTCTGTCGTCTGCAGTAAACTATCTCAAAAAATAAACTTTTGATATTTACAACAAAATATAACTGCAGTGCTAAAATATTTTTGTTGCTTGCTCAATTTAATATTATATAAATATATATCATTTTTATTTTATTGTTTTATATTTATAATATTAATATATAGTTAATTAATAATATATAGTTGACTTCTTTTATATTATTATAAAATTACATGGTTTGTAAATTATATAGCTTATATATCAAATTTTTGTTGCAGATCGTATTTGCGGAGGGACTTTCAGTGCTGAAATTTCCATGACGCCTGCTACTGTCTTCAGTAAGTCATTTTTATATAAATAATTATAAATATATATATATATATATATATATATATATATATATATATATATTGGGTCGTACTGTTTCTATTTTACATTAAATTCGTTATCAGTGACTAATACAATAAAGTCGAACATTTACATAAATCATTATTTTATCTTATGTAACTTCTTTAACAACTGTTACTAACAATTACATTTTTTTAATATTAATAAAATTAAAATAATTAATGATATAAATAAATACCATAATAAATAAATTAAAGAAATACTTTTCATTTAATTTTTTTTGCTGATGATGATATTAGTGTAATATAGATATGCATTTTGTGGTGGTGCTTGCAATAATATTTTTGGATTATTAACTTTCCAAAGAAAATATTTATGTTTTTGCAAAAAAATCCCATTTGCTTATTAAGTATGTCTCTTCCATATTTCAAGTCATTCTTAATCTTTCTGAATGGCATTGGTTTCTTAATGATTAAGTTGATTATTTACACTTAGGACATTTGCCTTAATGTAAAATCCTACTTGCACTTGGTTTTGTTCTATTGGATTTATTTTCTGATGATGGTTTTAGTGTCACTTGGAAACATATTTTGTGGTTCTGGTTGTAATTATAGTTCTGCACAATTGTATGCTTTAAAAAGCACAATAAGGTTTAGTGTTGGACAAATTGGACTAATGTTTAATAAAATCGTATCATTGGTGATGAATGTATTCTAATATGTAAAAGTTTGGTGGTGATAGCAACGATTTGGGTTTACTATTTGTCATACAACGATGCACAAAAATTGCAGCAGGAGTATATGCACAAATATTACACCATTTTCTTGCACTAATTGCCTAATAACGGTGATAGTTACAGTTCTATCAAACAATAACATATCAAAATGAATCCATTTTCAAGGTAACGTGAGACCATTCCGTCTGGCGTTCCACACGGACGCTACAGAAGCCCCGACTGATACTGACAATCGAGGATTTTGCTTAGACTATGTACAACAGCCTTGTGCGAATAGCGTTTAGTACAAATTTACAACTCTAAAATAATCATTATTATTGTTATTAATATTAATAATGATAATGCTAATATAGAAATAGATTAAGATGAAACGACAAGTACAAATTAAAATATAGTTTATAACGTGCTATGATCTTCGAATTCTTTTTATTGATTTATTTACAAATTGCCTATTGGCAAGATAATAAATAAAGTTACTGGTCCATAACTAATATGGGTTAAAATATAAATTCAAAGAAATCATAGTGCCAGCAGTCCCTCCGAACAAAAGAAGTAAAACTTCTTAATGTTGATATGAATATATGAAGAAGTAGAAATTGATTTTTAGTCAACTGCTTCTGTTTTTCCGACGAAAGTTTCGGTAACCTTACTTACAATTGATTCAATATTTTATTTATCATTTTGAGTAGAAAAATATCCAAATCAAAAACATTTACAATGAGATTATGATACTACACACAATAATTCTCAACATTTTGAGAGCATTTTCAATATATCAGACACTCTACAACATTTTCAGATAATCTACAATTTTCTTGCGATTAGACAATGTACAACCTCATTAGAAATTCTACCACATTTTGAGGAAATCTATGATATTTTCATACTATCAACTACAACTACAACATTCTCAGACAATTTGAAAAATTTTCAGACATTTACTACATTTTAAGACAAGCTACAACATCAAAGTTTCACTTCAAAAACATTGCAATTTGTTTCTAAATATAATTTATTTCCAACTCTTCATTATACATTTGATTTAATTAACTATTAAAAAATGACAAACGTACATATTATTTTTTGCTAATATTATTATAAATACAAAACAACAATTATATAAATATAAATTGTAGCACACTTGTGAAAATCCATATTTTGTTTTGTGACTTTAATTTACTAAACTTTTATTTATTCCCTATTGATAAAACATTTTTTTTGAATTTTATTAATTATTATAGGCCTATGGAAACATTTTTGTTTCTCTTATAAAATTAGTTGCTCCCTTAGTAACCACTTATAATTTTTTTTAGATAATTATTTAATTTAAAAGTAAAACAACTCATTTAAATATTTTGAGTTGTGCAAAGGTTAATTTATTATTTGTTATAGTTTATATATATATTTATTTTTTGTTAAACTATTAATTACTTATTGTTTTGTTGTTATTATTTTTGTTGAAAGTTATTAGTTAATACAAAAATTGTGTGTCGTTATGTATTTTAATTATAATAAACATAAATTATGTTTATGATCCCATTTTTCTAAGCTTAAGGCCTGCTTTTCTTTCTGAAAATTATTTAATTTCATATGAAAAATGAAATACATTTTTAAACTTTTACACATTTTTTAAATTATTTGAACAAGAAGTTTTTCAAATTGCAATTACACATTTATATATATTTGAAAGGAAATAGTTTAGAAAATATTTGTTGAAACCGTTTCTTAGAAAATGGTGTAAATATTTTGTGATTGTCAATATATTGATTATTTTAATGTTTTAAGTTTTAAACAAATAATGATAATAAAATATATATTAGGTATATTATTCTAAATAAGTTTATGATGTGACAGCATCTTTTGCCTTCATGAAGTATGTTAGAAGATCTATTGGCAAAGGGAATACTATGGTTGAATTTTTCTCAGCAGAAATTGTGTTCAAAGTCTGAAAAATAATTAAAAAACACACTATAATTAATTCCTGTACATGTTTTATGGTTCTTAGTTATTAGGATAAAACGTCTCCATATGACCACATCCTTGTAGCAAGAAAACCTGGATGGTTTTTTAGATTTGTGAAGCCAAGTGTCCTTTTGGAGTCATTTTAGTACCAAACATTATTTAGCAAAGTTGCAGCTAATTTAATTTGCAACAATTATCTTAAAGACAGTTGTTAAATCCAAAGCCTTCTCCAGAAAATATATTCTACTTACTTGTAAATATCTCAATTGCAAGGCAGCTGGAGAATCTCCAATGACCTCACTGGCTTCTCTCAAAGCCCTGCTTGCCTTCTGCTCACCTTCTGCAGCAATAACCTTCAAAGAAAACATTACAGATCAGCATCAGGATTTTAATAGATTGAGATAAATTTTATTACCTTAGCTCTGGCTTCTCTGGTAGCTTCTGCTTCTGCAGCCATGGCTCTTTGAAGCTGGACGGGCAGACGTACATCTTTGCTGTAATAGTAGTAAATGAAACTTGAATTAGAATTTGGGCAAATTGAATAAATAAATTGGTTTATACTTACATTTCGACTCTCTCCACTTTTATTCCCCAGGCTGATGTTGCTTCATCCAAGGATACCTGGGAAGTACATTTTCGATTTTATTATTGGTCTATTATTTATCGACTGATCTTACCATTGACTGATCTTACCATTGACTTGTTTAATTATTCTATATTATATTTACGCTAGGAACTGATTTAAAATAAAGTTTGTATATACAAAATGCTGCAATTGGAGTAAAGATCAGAGACATGGACTGTAACGGTAAATAAAACTAATAATAGATCAAAAAAAGGCTGACAATGTGACAAATGAAGTACTGCTGGGAATGGAAGGAGAAAGGACTCTACTATCTGGTTGGACACTTATATGAAATATAGTTTTATGGAAGGTAAAATAGAAGGATTAAAAGATGAAGTATGCAGTTGATGGACAACATTCAGGAGAAGAAAAATACAGAATATAAAGGAATAAATGATGAAGACGTATTCAAGAACATGGACAACTTTCAGGAGAAACAGAGAATTAAAATATATTCAACACGAAGGCAGCTATAGGTGATGGACAACATTCAGGAGAAGACAAAATACAGAAGTTAAAGGAATTAAGGATGAAGATATTTTCATGGTCATGGACAAGATTCAAGAAAAGACAAAGAATTAATATATATATTCAGGATAAGGTCAAAGATATAGGTGATGGACAACCAGGAGAAGACAAACGAAGAAGGATTAGAGGATGAAGAAGTATGCAGATGTTGAACAACATTTTGGAGAAAACAAAATACAAACGATGAAGAAATGAAGAATTAAGATGTATCCTGTATGATGGATAACATTCAGGAGAAAACAAAGCATGAAAGATTAAAAGTTGAAGAAGTATGCAGATGATGAATAACATTTGGGAGAGGACAAAATATAAAATATGAAGGAATGAAGGATGAAGATGTATCCAGGATGATGGACATCATTCAGGAGAAGGCAAAGGATGCAGAATTAAAGGATGAAGAAGACCTTGCAATGGTGGACAATATTCTGCAGAGGACAAAGTATAAAATATGAAGGATGAAAGGATGAAAATGTATCCTGGATGATGGACAACATTCAGGAGAAGGCAAAGGATGCACAATTAAGAGATAAAGAAGTATGCAATAGTGGTCAACATTCTGGAGAAGACAAAAGATGAAGCATTAAAAGATGAAGCATTAAAAGATGAAGAAGTATGCTGATGATGGACAACATTCAGGAAACATTCGAAATACTAAGGATGAAGAAGCTTGATGAAAACAGAATTTCGAAAAGCAAAAATTGGGCTATGAACAAGGAATGGAAGAGTTGTTGTGATTTCTATCTAGTCACCTGCATGTTTCCAGAAATAGTCATCCTCTCACTTAAGATTTCGTGAAGATGTCTGGTGCCCATGGTGTTCCTCAAAGTTGTCTGTGCCAGAAGACGTGTGGAGTGGTGTGCATTTTCGACATTAGCTATCGAAACTGTAGCATTACTAACTCTATAGTAAACTACAGCATCGACAGATACTGTCACTGAGTCCTTTGTCAGCACCTGGGGAAAGGTAAAGGTCTATAAAATCTACATGTGGTCAATATAGACATTATTGGTGCTCCTAATTTATTTTGGTGAATCATGTTTTTTTAATGTTGGGGCCCCAATATGTTGGTAGTTTCGAAACTGCCAAAATCTGCACTTGTGTTTATTTAGATTTTTGATATCAAGAAAACTAACCTTCATTGGAGGAAAAATTAAGCATTGGAGTCCAAATTAAGGGTTTTGCACCAACAAACAATATTCAACAAGATTATCCAAAACTATTAGACTACAACTCTTGATACTTTTGCAAAGATACAATAAATCCTTTCCTGTAGGTTTTGTACCAAATGTATAGTAGACGCTTATTGGCACGTTGCTATACACCACTACTTACCTAATTATTAATAAATACATAATTTTATTACAATTACCTCCTGAGGTGGCACATCGTATGTTCGAGTTCGCAAATCGACACGAGCATAAGCATCGATGCAAGGCAGTATGAAAAAGATGCCTGAAAAAGGGAAATCGAATCGTTTTACACAATTAGACAAAGTTTTAGATAATTCAATAAACTAAACAATTGTCGAAGACTTTAACACAGCTTTAACAATTAGTTTATAAATTATAAACAAAATTGTAAAAAATGCACCATAAATTTTTTACCCACCTGGTCCTTTAGCACCTCCGGTCATCAGACGTCCCAGTCTGAAAATTACGGCCCTTTCGTATTCCTGGACGACCTGAAATAAAAAATTGTATGAAATTATTTTGGGTATAGAACTCTAAATAATATAATTCATTAATAAATTAATATAGAACCCTAAAAAAGAAACTATATATGTATGAGACTTCCAGAAATTGGTGAGAATACTTTGCTGAATTTTTTTTGCAATTTATGTGTAGACCAAGTTGCTGTAGGACCATATGGTAATAGATTATGTTGTAGGTTATTTAATTTTGTACAAATTCTTCTTATACATCATTCCTATTAATCGAATGGTTTTAAAGTTACAAAAGACGATAAGTTACCAGTTTATATCTGAGCAATATTTAAGGGCAATAATATTATTTATTAAGTAAAGTTTGTATTTTATGAAATTTATTTCTTATTAAATATATGTTCATATATTTATACTTACTTTAAAACAAACTATCAAAGAAAAAGGCATCGTGATGATGATGAGGACCCACGAGAGAATTGTTAAGATTTTTCCACATGATGTAGCCTCGCCTGCTGCTGAGTCGTCAGCTGAAAAAAAATCCAATGTTTTTTAGAAATACCTAAAAATATAAACGACTATTGTACAGAGTTTTGATATAAGAAGGATTGGTAGATAATTTTATTTGCTTTAATTTTGTGCAATATCATTTTTGCCTAAAATGGGTGATTTAGAAATTATGAGAAGATATATAGAAAATGTACCCTTGACGCGTCTTGTTCAGTGTTGTCTGTGAAATTGTCGTCAGCGTTTTTAAAATACATTTGATTTTTATACAAAATTATAATATATGGCAAGTTTATAGATAATTTTATCAGCTTTAATTTTATAGAACAAAATTTTTATCTAAAGTTAATCATTTATAAGCTTTGTGGAAAAATTTAAAAATCAGTACTATCTTCTCTCATTTGGCATATTATTTGTTGTTTGTTTAATAATTGGATGGATCCGTGAAAAAACTTTTTATCATATTATATATCTTTTCATATATGTATATATATAGGTATATAAATTTCTATGTATATATCCATTTACGAGGTTAAACTAGTTCACATGAATTATTGACAAAGTCATTACGACGTTGTCGCGTTTTATTGATTGGAAATGCCTTTACATTACTTTTATTCGACAAACATATCATTATTTATTCAAAAGAAAACATTTTAGCACAGAATAAAATCATAACTAGAGATAAATATTGGAAACGATTAATAAAAGCAGGCGAATGAAAAAACTGTCTGACTGATCTTTACTACAAACTTATCAGCACGATTCCCTAATTGAGCTCCTTCGAAGGGTTTTTAAAATTGCCAAATCGGTTTAAAAATTTTTCATTAAATATTCTGCACTTTTTTGCAAAATATAAAGAAACGGCTCGGGCGATCGTCTCGCATAACTAATCAACACCAGTCTTTATTGAGTTTTATCAATTGGCTTTTAAATTTTTAACATCAGTGCAGCCGTTTTTAAAAAAACTTGGAGGGCATGGTCAATTTTTGTCTTACACACATTGGCACGCATACTTTTGTCAATTTGGGTGACAAACGATTCATAATGACTTGAAACCTCGAGGAAACATAAAATTGGGAAACCGGATTTTCTGAAGAAAATATAAAATTTACCTATGGGAGGTTAATAAAAGTCCAAAACTGGTACAGAACTTCAAAACTAACTTGATTAACTAACGAGTAGGTAAATTTTTGTTTGTTAGGAGTACAAATTCTGAAGCCTTCGATTAATATGATTGGTGTCTTTAGAAAACCAGTTCAAAATTAAATAATCTACATTTTTTTCTAATAACAAAACTTCCTAGAGCAACTCGGTATACCCTTAAATTTGTGTTTTAAATTAAATTATCTAAAATTGTTTCTAATACCTAAAGACCCTAAAACAACTCGGTATACTTTTAAATCTGTATTGAATATTGATTTACAAAATCTGCAATGGTAAAAATAATTTTGTAAAATTAGTTTTTTAATCAGAAAATTATGGGTATTGAACTCTTACTAAAATCTTTACAAAGCAGTCCCTAAGCCTATAATATTTTTTTTTAAATTTAACCCTTTCCACATGCCAAGTGCAGCATTTGTATGAATTTTGCCGCCGGAGCGACGGCATCCGAATGCAAAGGGTTAACAATTTAGGAGGTACAGAAGTATAGAACCCTTGTGTTTTCACATAAAAATAATTAAGTTTCTCCAAGTCAATTACTTTCGCCGCGCCCTTTTATTCTATATATATTTCCATACCTATATTTAATATTTCAGGAGCACCTTAGGGATTTAGGGCTCCGCCCCTGTTAATAAAATTAACCTTCAATAATTATTCAAATGTCAAACTAATTACCTAAAACAAACCCATTAGGAGAACGAACTATTTTAATATAGCCATGTTGATTATTTCTTAAACCATTCGATTAATATGAATGATGTATAAGACTAATTTGTAGACAAATGAATAATCTATCATACTGCATAATATTATATTGCCTTACAGCATCTCATTTCAAAATAAAGTTGTTGATTGGGTGCGTTTGTTTTTTATATTGTTTATAAATCTTAAACCATTCGATTAATATGAATGATGTATAAGACGAATTTGTAGACAAATGAATAATCTAACATACTGTTTAATATTATATTGCCTTACAGCATCTCACTCCAAAGATGCTGTTGAAAATATAGTTGTTGATTGGTTGCGTTTGTTTTTTATATTGTTCATAAATCTCAAACCATTTGATTAATATGAATAATGTATAAGACAAATTTGTATACAAATGAATAATCTAACATACTGCGTAATGTTATTGCCTTACAGCATCTCATTTTCAAATAAAGTTGTAGATTAAGTGCGTTTTTTTTATATTGTTCATAAATCTTAAACCAATCTATTAATATGAATGATGTATGAGGTGAATTTGTAGACAAATAAATAATCATACTGTCTGATATTATATTGCCTTACAGCATCTCATTTCAAAATACCTGTTGATTGGGTGCGTTTGTTTTTATATTGTTTATAAATTCTAAAGCATTCGATTAATATGAATGATGTTAAAGACTAATTTGTAAAGAAATGAATAATCTATCATACTGTCTAATATTATATTGCCTTACAGCATCTCACTCCAAAATTGCTGATGAAAATAAAGTTGTTGATTAGGTGCGTTTGTTTTTTATATTGTTTTTAATTCTTGAACCATTCGATTAATATGAATGATGTGTAAGACGAATTTGTAGGTAAATGAGTAATTTATCGTGCTGTCTCATATTATATTGCCTTACAGCATCTCTCTCCAGATTTGCCAAGCCAGTTATACCAAGGGCCTTTAGAACCTTTTGTTTTTAGTAACAGTTGTAGATTTTTTAATTTTAAACAATTTTCCCAAATACTGTATTAATTTTGCTATAATAATTTAAAAGTTATAAGCAATTGCATCGACACTAGCTTTAACCAATTTTCAATCGTTATTTTAAAAGCAATTTTAAAGTACACCGTGTTGCTATAGAATGTCATAATATTAGACAATGTTAAAGATTATTTAATTTTAAACAAATTTCTCTCATACAACATTCATATCAATCGAATGGTTTGAAAGTTACAAGAGATACAATAAATAAATGCATAAATTTGTACCTTGAGAAACCATGTCTACAGTTTCATCTGTTGCAGCAGCGTTTGTCATATTTAAATTCAAAAAAATATATTTTTATATAAAAATCTAAATTTTGTAAATTTCACATAATATTTTATTTATGGCTAAAATCTAGATCAAGTCATCATACTTAGTTTTGTTTAAAAAAATTGTATTAAAAAAACATTAACGAACAAACTAGAAGAACTTTACTGCAGTAGAGATATTTATTAACAAACTAGTAATTCTAATTATTTATTTATTTATTTATTTATATATTTATTTGTTTATTTATTTATTTACTTATTTATTTAATTATTTATTTATTAACTAATTTTAATTAATTATTTAACGTCCTAACGATCGTGTCACCAAAGAGCAACTGAACGTTTTTGTCAACTAGTCGATATTTCTTTTAATATGGGGACAGGGTCGGCCAAAATTAATAATCATCAATTATTTTCTACGTGTACTCTAAATAAAATATATTATTCTTTCCCACTGTACTGAATATAGAGAAAGCTGAAAATTATACTCAGAAACAAATTTTGAAAATATTTTTTGTTTTTCCAACCCTGTTATGGGTATACTGATTTGCTGTAGGGTCTTCAAGTGTTAAACAAGGTTTTTAATTGTTTAATTTTGGTACAAATTTTCTGAACACGTCATCCATATTAATCGAATGGTTTAAAAGTTATTGAAGTTACACCAAAATTGTGCAGTTTTGCATTTTAAGGTATATTTAAGGGTATACAGAGTTGCTTTAGGGTCTTTTGTTGTTACTAAAAGTTGTAGATAATTTAATTTTAAACAAGGTAGTCTCAAATAAGCCCAGCAAAGTTGCTAAGCTAGCACCAACTAGTCCCGGGTTCGACGGTTTGACTCCCGATCAGGCAACTTTGATGTCAAAGCCCTGTGAAAATCGCGATATACATAATTAGTGCACCTTTATTATAAATTATATTTGTAGGTGCGATTTTAGAGTGTAACGAGTTGCTGTGGGGCATCATAATATTAGAGAATATTATGAATCATTTATTTCTACACAATTTTGTCGAATATATCATATTTCTACGACGTACGGTTTAAAAGTTACAATAGGTTTAATAAATATGTGCACGGATTAGAAACGCATTGGCTGATCTTGGAACAAAAATTGCATCTGCGTGTAAACTTGTTTCGTTTTTGAAATTACTCAAATCAACTATCAAGTATGGTAGTTTGTGGTATAATCTAGAGGTCCTAACATAAATTTTAGCATAATTCAATTGAAATCTCCATTTATCTTCTATTTTAGTACACGAGTTTCTTTTTCTCATAAACTAAATTGCGTTGAATCATTAATATAAGAAATCACAAAAACCTATTTTTATTTCATCGAACAATTCTTTTTCTTTCATTAACCTTTCGGTTAGGTGTCAAGACTATGATTGACAGATTGTCAAGTGACAATAAATGTACCTGAAGTGGAAATTAATACTTATTGACATTTGAAGTGGAAAAACTTTGACGGAAAATGATGGTTGTGATTGGAAAAACGCAAATTGTTGCTAGGAGGAGGAAAAGATTTATTTTGAGATATTTTGGATTTTAGGAAGCATAATGTGAAGAAAAGGAGACTCGGTTGGAAATAACATATTTATTAATATTATTATTTATCTTCACTTACCGTTCTCGTACATGGACAACGTTTCCGTCGGAGGGCCAAAATGATTCTCAACACTATTCAAACTGGCCCTGGCCCCGCCTCCGGCCCTATTTCCATTTCCGACTCCGCCTTTATCACCCCCACCACCAGATATTTGTTGCTGATATGTCCCTCCCACCGCGTTATTTACACCACCGACCCCACCACTAATATTATAAGCGCCGCCCGTTTTATTGTCGAAAGACTCCGAGACCCCGCCTCCCATCGAAGCAGTTTGAGGGTTATAGTACGCTCCGTAGTAGTAGGAGGTGTTGAGATTGGTTTGTTTGGTGTTAGCCCCGCCTTGGCGGTTGTAGACCACGCCTGTGCCACCGGAGGCGGGCACGCCCATGTTGGATGCTAAGGGGAGGGGGGACATCTCGAAGTATTGCATCGGGTAGCAGAGATTTTAGAAAAGTCTTTGGAATGTTATTGTTGGGCGATGTGTGCACTTTGTTTTAGCTTTAGGTGTTGGTGGACATTGTTCGTTTGTTTTTGAACTGTTTGTTATTGGTTTCAATAAAATTTACACATTTTGTTAACAAAATTTAATTTTATTAGATTATATTATTTTTGAAAGGCTATTGCAAATAACCCAAACACTTATTTTGTTCTGGCCTTCTTATTTTACTGTAAGATAAAAAATAGAAAAATTAGTGGAAAAAAATAATTAGTTGACCATTGATTTTGACCTTAATTTGAAATCCTATCTGCTTGGTTTTTTTTTAACTCTTGAAAATCAAAATTTATGTCTTCAACAAAAAATCCAATTTGATATATTCTTTTCTAATTTTATTGTTTTCAAGAAAAATATTCAAGTAACGCTTACTATGCGTCCCCAAGCCTAAGTAAAACTGTATGAGAAAGCGTTGTGTTAGGTTCGGACAACATGACAAGCACTCATAGTGTTTCTATTTGTTGAACAAAAGCAGTTTCTATTTATCTAAAACTTGCCTTAACGCCACTTATACATAATTATGTTTATTTTCATCTTCCTGAATTTTAGATGAACAATTTTGTTCATCTAATTTTAGAATTATTAGAATCGTTGGCGCAATGTTTATTTCGTAGATAAAAATAGATGGCATCTAATTTATCTAGTTTTAAGATAAGATTTTTCTATTTACCATAAAATTATCGTTTAACTATCAAAATTTAATCGATAGATGTAGAGATATTAAAACGTATTTTGACATAGAAATGGGACATGTTTGGGTTATTGATCGCATGTCAAATGAATTATTAAATGGTTCTGGTTAATCGACACGATATATATATATATATATATATATATATATATAAACTCGTATATATATATATATATATATATATATAAACCAAAATAATAGGAAATGAATGACACGTGTCAACGTGTCAAATAAATCAGATAAAAAATGCACGTTACTCGTTCCGTTGCAAAGAACAGAAAACTATAGTTTTGTTTTGATTTATTGTACGAAAGCGTACTGACTGATGGACAGGTGACATGATGGCCATGTGTCATATTATGACACGTGTTATAATATACGATGACACTTGCCATAATATACTATGACACTTGTCATAATATACTTTGAAACGTATCTCAATATACTATGACACGTGTCACAATATACTATGACACGTGTCATAATGTACTTTGACACGTGTCATAATGTATTTTGACACGTATCACAATATACTATGACTCGTGTCACACTATACTATAACATGTGTCATACATACATCTCAACAAACTGTGACATGTCTCATAACACGCTAAAACATGTATCACAAGTGACAATATGCTATGGTCTTTAACCCTTGTGCTACAAGAGTGTTTTTGTAGTAATGACGCTGCTATACGAGCCAGAAAGCTGCCCACAAGATTTTTTAAGGTTTTGCAATCTTTATCAAGGATTTTGTATTTAAAAGTTTAAAATTACACTTATAAAAAGAACTAAGTATTACAACTACAAATTAGAATTCTCAGTGCAGAGTGATAAACCTTGACACTCATACACACAGGTCGTCAAACAAATGTTGCCGGTAGGCGACGATAGTAGGCGAAAGGGTTAAATTAAATGTCAGTATCACGAAAGTAAAAAAATTGTACAATTGACACACGCATTATGCCATGTGTTACAACATTCCTTGATATATGTCATTGCGTCGAGTGACATTTGTCAGTATCGCGAAACTAGAAAGTTTTGTCCTTGCTCTTATCTTACTATAAGATTACACAAAAAAGTGAGTCAAAAATTAGTTAGTAAGTTTTGTTATACTGACATATGTCATTCGACTGAATGACATGTGTCAAAGAATGTTGTGACACATGTCATAAAGTGTTGGTGTGAAATTGTGACATATTTATTTTAAATGTTTTGACACAAATAATTGATGCACAAACATTATGACATGTGTCATGACATCAAATGACATATATCACAGTTAGAAAATTAGAAAATACTGTTGCCAAAAATAAGCGTATGCTTGACACAGCACATAATGACATAGCAATTACTTACTATGACACATGTTATAATATACTATGACACGTGTTTCAACGTACTGTGTCATGTATCAGAAAATGCTTTGATGCATGTTGCGGTGTCTATTGACATATGTCAGTGTCACGAATATAGAAAATGTGACTCCTCCCGAAAATAATCGTATCATTGGAATACTTTAAATATCGTAACTTATTATGGCATGTGTCATATATTGTATCGGAACTATGACATGTGTCTATTGACATATGTCAGTGTCACGAATATAAAATATGTGAATCCTGCTCAAAATATTTGTTTGTTTGAAACACTTTAAATATCATAACTCATTTTGACTTGAGTCATATTCTATTGAAACTATGACATGTGTCTATTGACATATGTCAGTGTCACGAATATTGAAGATGTGACACCTGCCAGAGATATTCGTTTGATTGAAACACTTGAAATATTGCAACTTATTTTGGCCTGTGTCATATATTCTAATGAAACTATGACATGTGTCTATTGACATATGTTAGTGTCACGAAAGCAGAAAATACGACTCCTGCCCAAAATATTCGAAAGATTGAAACACTTTAAATATCATTATTTATTTTGACATGTGTCATATTCTATTGAAACTATGACACGTGTCTACTGACATATGTCAGTGTCACGAAAATACAAGATGCGAAACCTGCCAGAAATATTCGTAAGATTGAAACACTTTAAATATCATAACTTTTTTTGACACGTGTCATTTATTCTACCGAAACTATGACATGTGTCTATTGACATATGTCAGTGTCACGAATATAAAAGTTGCGAAACCTGCCAGAAACACTTTCAATATTGTATCTTATTTTGACATGAGTTATATTCTATTGAAACTATTACATATGTTTATTGACATATGTCAGTGTCACGAATATGGAAGAAACGAAACCTGCCCGATATATTCGTTTGATTGAAACACTTGAAATATCGTAACTTATTATGACATGTGTCATATATTTTATTGAAATCATGACATGTTTTATAATAATTTATGTTATGACACATGTCACGAAACCTACACACTTAGCTTACGGTCTCACAGGTCATTCTAGCAACTACAATGAATATAATATAAACAATAATATTTTAACGCTTTAAAATGTTTTTAAAATATTTATCATTTTTTATTTATTTTTTTAATTTTTACCCGACACTAATTTCTATTTAATGACTTCATCAATGCAAAAGCGATTTGCTACTGAAAGCTCGACAGCTATCGAGCTTTTGAAATCGACTATATATTTAATGAGGGGGCTCATGGGGCGCTTATTGTTCGTGGGCGGCCGTAGGTGGTGTAGTGGTTTGAGTTGTGGGGTGTATAATTAGAGATCAGGGTTCGTATATTTGATAAATAGATATCAAATGTTATTTATAGACTTGGATATATATATATATATATATATATATATAATATTTTTTTGTTACGGTCAAGTCCAAAATGATTATCGAATTAAAAATTAATCTTGCTCAAACACAAAGTTGTAACATGTAATTGTTATACAGACAGTTTATCGATGTTTTCCTTTAGTTTTGACAAATTACGTTACATAATCGAAAATAAAACTTTGTCATGTAAAATATATATACTTTGGTATATAATGATGAAAAATGTCATTGTCATTGTATTACAAACAGTGTGTTACAGACTTTATGAATATTAGGGGCCGAATCTCGGATACGGGTCTATATTTGTATAAGTTGGTAGTAAGTCAAAAAGCTATGTTTTTGCTGTGCGATCAGACGTTTTACACATAAAATTGTCAATGAGACATCAGAAAGTTGCACTTATGATAACATTGTTATTTGATGTTCTCGCGTTTTATAGGTTAGGTTTTATGTGTGTGTGGGAATCAAAGAGGCCATGAGTTTTTGGGATAAAAACAATTATTCATGTCATGACATTTTTATAGTTTTGAAATCATAATTCAATTTTAATGAAACATAGAAATATCTTTTACTTATTTATATATTTCTATACTGGTGACCTACGACATCTACGAATAAAAATTGAAAAAATAAAATATTGATTTTGGTGCAATGCCCTAATTACTGGTCTTCCGTTGGCTACTTAAAAGGTACGCCCAGTCCTCGGTTCATCTCGGGTTAACTCTAGTCATGACACCGGACTTCCGTTGGCATACTCATTCTGTATTTTACTTATTCACATATTTTTATCTGTGAAACGTCTGATTGCACAGCAAGTACAAAGCTTTTTAACAGTTTGTTACTACCTTAAGGTAACATTTCTATGTTATCGAAGAATTGGCTCCTTATTTGTATAATGCAACCTTCCCCAAATATTTGACAAAAGCGCCAACCTTGACTTAGACAACCTCATTATATTCAGAAAAAATTTCTACTTACCGCTCCCATTAGCAGCTAAAATAAACAAAAACAGCATTATCACCAATTTCATTTCTCATTTTTCATTTACAATTCACAATATACCTTCTAGCATTCGTCTTCGGAACCTTTCGTCCTTTATCGTTTCCATCCTGGCATCGTTTTCGGTGTAGTTTCTCATGATTTTGTGCTCGGATTTTGGAAAATTCGAATTGTTGTGATTCAATTCGATATTTTCCGAAGGCAGAGATGTATCTGGAATAAAACAATAATATATAAAAGTGTTGGCATCAAGGTATGGTTTGTTTAGAGGCAGGTTTTTCGTAGGAGACTCTCGTTTTGGTGAAGTCAGTTTCTGATGGATAGATAGAGTTGGTGTAAAGTGATTTGTGATAGGAAGTATTGATTGGTGACCAGGAAATGGTTTGTTAGAGGCAGGTTTATGATAGGAGACTCTCGTTTTGGTGAAGTCAGTTTCTGG